TTCAGAATGTTAGAGACATTAGGCAGATCATTAATGTATATAAGAAAAAGAAGGAGTCCCAAGATGCTGCCCTGTGGCACTCCAACGGTTATTGGTAGAATGGGAGAGATTATATTATTGATGGCTACACATTGGTGTCTATCACTAAGATAGGATTGGATATAGTCCAGTGCATGGCCTCGGATTCCATAATGATGGAGTTTACTTAAGAGGTAATCGTGATTAACAGTATCAAAGGCCTTTCTCAGGTCAGTGAAGAGTCCAATTGGAAACTCATTTTTGTCAAGAGCTGAGTAAATTATATCAAGGAGACTAATAATTGCATCGTTGGTACTCTTTTGAGAGCGGAAGCCAAACTGACAGGGGCTAAGAATGTCGAATTTTACGAGATAGGAGTAGAACTGTTTGTAGATAATTTTTTCAAATATTTTTGATAGTATGGGTAGGTTCGATATTGGTCTATAGTTGTTTATGTCTGACGGATTACCTCCTTTATGAACTGGCGTTACTCTTGCTTTTTTAAGGATATCAGGGAAGGTATGTCACTCAAGGGATTTGTTGAACAGCAGAGCTATAGGTGGCGCAAGGGCATGGGAGGCGCTCTTGTATACAATGGATGGGATTTCACTGATATGTTCCCAGCTTTGGTTTGGGACCAGCCCCTCTAATATTTTCCACGTGTAAATTATTATGTACCTCGACTCCCGCCTGCGCTCAAGGGAGTACAGTTTTAGGCTCTTTAGTCGGTCCCAATAGTTTAGATGTTTTACTGAGTGGATTCTAGCAGTAAAGGATCTCTGCACGCTCTCCAGGTCAGCAATTTCTCCAGCTTTGAAAGGTGCTGTCATTGTGCAGCAGTACTCTACTCTAGAGAGCACAAGCGTTTTGAAAAGTATCATCATCGGTATAGCATCTCTAGTGTGAAAAGTTCTTGTTATCCAACCTGTCATTTTTCTTGCAGTTGTGACGGCTACTTTATTGTGTTCTTTAAAGGTAAGGTCTTCCGACATGAGTACACCCAGATCCTTTACATTGCCTTTTCGTTCTATGTTATGATTTGCCTGAGTTTTGTACGTGGTTTCCGTTTTTATATTTTCATTTTTTCCATAGCGCATGAGCTGGAACTTATCTTCGTTAAACACCATATTATTTTCTGTAGCCCATAGAAAGACCTGATCTACATCTGACTGGAGGTTCGCCGTGTCCTCTATGTTGCCTACTCTCATGAAGATCCTAGTGTCATCTGCAAAGGATTATACAGTGCTATAGGTTGTGTTCTTGTCTATGTCCGAAATGAGGATGAGAAAAAGTACTGGAGCAAGCACAGTACCCTGGGGAACTGAGCTCTTCACGGTTGATGGGCTGGATTTTATTTTGTTGACTATTACACATTGGGTTCTGTTGGTCAGGAAATTGTAGATCCATCTGCCTATTTTTCCGGTAATTCCTTTTGAACGCATTTTATTTGCAATAACACCAAGGTCACATTTATCAAAAGCTTTTGCGAAATCTGTGTAAATTACATCCGCGTTATGTTTGTCTTCCATAGCATCTAATGCCATATCATAGTGGAACAGCAACTGCGACAGGCAAGAGCGCCCTGTTCTGAAACCATGTTGTCCGGGGTTATGGAGTTGCTGTGATTCCATGTATTTTGTGATTTTACTTCTTAGCACTCTCTCAAAATTGTTTATGATGTGCGATGTTAGCGCTATCGGTCTGTAATTTTTTGCCTCAGCCTTATTTCCTCCTTTATGAATTGGTGCTATCTCTGCTGTTTTTAGTATATCAGGAATAACGCCAGTATCTAGGCTTTGTCTCCACAGAATGTGGAGGGCCTGCGATAGTGGTTTTTTACAGTTCTTTATGAATATGGAGTTCCAAGAATCCGGGCCTGGTGCAGAGTGTATATAGGCATACTGTTTATGGCTTCTTCAAAATCCAGTGGGGATAGGGTGACGTCTGATATATGATTTGATGTTGGTATCGTATCCATGAAAAATTCATTTGGGTTATCAATCTTTAGTGTGTTTAATGGCTCGCTGAAAACAGAGTCGTACTGCGTCCTCAGTAGCTCGCTCATTTCTTTGTTGTCATCGGTGAAAGTTCCATCTCCCTTTCGCAGGGGCCCGATACTAGATGTGGTTTTTGATCTTGATTTTGCATAGGAGAAAAAATATTTCGGATTTCTTTCTATTTCACTGATGGCCTTTTGCTCTCTTTGCCTCTCCTGGGTTTTGTATGATTCTTGTAGCTTCCGTTCAATTGTTTCTATTTCTCTACCTAACCTTCTTCGCCGTTCTTGAGATAGGGAACAACGGAACACGGAACAACTCTCAAGTTGTTCCGTGATTCGTTTTCTTCGCCTATATAGGGAACGACGTTCCCGTTCCAATCTGCATCTCTTCCTCTTTTTTCTTAGAGGTATGCGGTTTGAACATATTTCTAGTGCTACTGAGCTTATTTTTTCCAGGCACTGGTTCAGGTTTGCATTTTCTAGCTGTTCTTCCCAGTTTATTTCTGTGAAGTCCTGGTTTATTTGCTCCCAGTTTATCTGTTTATTATTGAAGTTGAATTTGCTGAAATCTCCTCCACCGGGAATCTGGACTGGTTTTGAAGGTCTACTCCCCATGGTTGTCATAACTTCAATTAAGTTGTGATCTGAGTAACAGGTATTTGTAATCATTATGTTCCTGATCAATTCATCATTATTAGTGAAAATGAGGTCCAGCGTGTTCTCCTTCCTAGTTGGTTCTACTATTTGCTGGTTTAAGGCAAACCTGTCGCACATCCGTAGCAGGTCATTTGCATGTGCCTGTTCATTTAGGCTACTTCCTGGTATTCTTTCTGATATTACTATATTAGCCAGGTGCTTCCATTTCAGGTGCCGTAGGTTGAAGTCCCCAAGCAGGATGATGTTCGGAGCTGGATTTGTGAGGTTTTCCAAGCAGTGTTCTATTTTCATTAGTTGGTCTTTAAACTGCTGAGGGTTTGCCTCCGGTGACTTATATACAAGGACAATAACTACATTTAAAATCTCTATTTTGATTATCAGCACTTCCACCATATCATTTGAGGTGTTTAGCAGCTCAGTACAGATGAGTGTGTCTTTGATGTAGAGGCTGACCCCACCCTGAAGCCGGTGTTTCCTATCACATCTGAAAAGATTGTACTCTGAGATCCATATTTCACCATCATGGTAGTCCTTTGTGTGGGTTTCTGTTAGGGCTGCAAACACTGCATTTGCCTCATGAAGGAGACCATCTATAAATTGAACTTTGTTGGTTTTACGTGTTTTTATACCCTGGATGTTGGCAAATATAAATGATGTTATCGTGTTAGTGGAAGTGCTGGAAGCCTTACTTGGTGTTAATATCTGAGGCTCTGGTAAGGAGGCCACTGTGTTTGCGTCCAGGGTGTGTCGTTTTGGAAGTGATTCGTCCAGTTTTAATATGTATATTGTTTGTAATATGTTTGTATATGCATAAATAAATAAAATAAATAAAAAAGAAATCTAGGGACCGAGAATGTGGAATGGTCTCCCCAATCATGTCAAAGGCTGTACTTCTCTCAACCAGTTTAAGAGTAAAACTAAGTGCTACTTAATGATCTCTATGCAACCTACCTTACCCCCTAAATGTCAACCCATGTCTTGCTTTTGTTAATCAATGCTGTTTGTTCTCCAACTTGTTCAATTACCGATTTCTGCCATGTTCCCCCCTTTTTATTTTTTATTCCTTTTTCAACACAATTTATACTTTAATCCCAATTACTATTAAGTTTTAGTCCAAGTGGGGGAGTTTTCCCCACACCTTGCCCGAAATGCTGTGCGTATTAGTGGCATTAGGTATTGTATGTACTAGCTCTGTATATAAATCCAACATTATGTTTGTAAATCAAGAGTGTATGTACTTTTTCTGAATAAAAATGTATTATTTATTATCATTATTATTATTATTATAAATATTCCTAACTTTGCAAACCAAAGAAAACGGTGTTGACAGATGAACGCAAGCGATCGACACCATCACAACAACAGCCTTTTCCAGCGTCGAACATGGCGGACACCACTGTTCAAGACGCCTACCTTGACGACGAGCGGACGTCTGGACACCTGCTCTAGCTGGAGACCACCGAAACGCGTAATGTGATTTTGACCAAAGGGTCTCGATACTGCCGCCAGGCATTCCTCATCAACGGCCCGGTTTGATACAACAATCTCTTGTTTATAACTGGAAGATGTGATCTTCCAGACGTGAGTTATTAGATGCCCCTAGTCACAAGACGACTGTTGCTGCCATTAAACGGAGATAACCTCCACCTATGAATCATAAGACAAAACCCAGTGACTTGTCTTCGGAAGGCGCTTCAAGTCTCAAGACAACTCTGAGTCATCAGTACATAACCCTCACACACAGTGGGGGTCCTGGGGCACAGTGGTACATACAGTTGGTCACAACAGATAGGGAATTAGCCGGCCTAGGGGGACCTCAATAGTCTTTAAAGGATTCCTGTCACGGCCTATGAAAAACCATAAGTGAACCTTAAGACCACGCCCATGTCACAAGACAATTCTAAAGTCATCAGAAGTAGGTAACCTTCTCGCAAATTATTTGACTCATAAAAAGATGTGACAAAACCTCAGGAGTGTCCAGAGCAGCATTTCTCATTTTGCAGAACTCTTAAGGTTCTGCAAGAATATTGTTAATGTTTATTTTTTTGTTTACAGATATGAGTGATTTTTTGTAATTAATAAATGTATACTTTTTAGATTTATAAATTGATATAATAATTATTATGCAGGGCTTCCCTGAGGCTTGAAAATGACTTCAAAGGTTCTGCTAGAGTAAAAGTGTTCAGAAATGCTGGTCCAGAGTGTGAGAAAAGATTCGGTTGTCTTGGAGATGTGAAGACACCCATGCTAGTGCATATGAGGGATAAACCCTAAGAGTGTCCATAGACTGAGAAAAGATTGTCTACTTAGAACTCTGAAGCACATTATGGTATATACAGGTCAGAAACCTTTCGAATTTGGTAACAGATTCAGTCATCTTGAACATGCAAAAACACACATGGGTATCCATACAAGGGATAAACTTCATGAATGTCCAGAGTGTGGTAAAAGATTTAATCGTCTTGGACACGTGAAGCAGCATATGGTTGTGCATACAGGGAATAAACCTCACGAGTGTCCAATATGTGGGAAAAAATTCAGTCGTCGTGGAGATGTGAAGATACACATACTGGTGCATACAAGAGATAAACCACACGAGTGTTCAGAGTGTGGGAAAAGATTCAGTCGCCGTGGAGATGTCAAAACCCACATGCTGGTGCATACAAGAGATAAACCTCATGAATGTCCTGAGTGTGGGCTAAGATTCAGCCATCTTGGACATATGAAGATTCACATGATGGTGCACACGGGCCAGAAACCTTTTGAATGTGCCGAGTGTGGGAGAAGATTCAGAGAACGTAGCCACATAATTAGACATACATTAGTGCATTCAGATGATAAACCTCATGAATGTCCAGAGTGTCGAAAAAGATTTAGGCATCTTAGTAGTATGAGACGTCACATCATATTAATGCATTCAGGTGGTAAACCTGACTTGGCCTAGTGTCCTGTCATTTGCAAAAAAAAGTGTTGCTAATCAAATTAGGCTTGAATGGCACAAGGTGGTGTATATGTTAGATAAATCGTTTGAGTATCATTCATATAAGCAGTTTAGTATTATAACATACATATGAAGACATTACTTTCCCACTAATCCAATATGCAGTTTGGAAACTGACCTTCAGCTTTAAAATACTGTGCTGTATCAGTTGGATGTCCTACAAAGATATTTTTATTTTCTTAGTTTTGTATGAGAACTATTCTTGACTATGAAAGGCAAAGTTCTGCAGTCATATTTTTAATCCTCTGTTCAGAGTTAGATGCACCTTGTAGACCAAGCCAAGGGAAGCTATGATAATAGACTCATTTTGTATTTTTTCAAAATAAAACAAGTTTATAACTTTTTTTTTTACTGTCCATTTAGGTCTTGCTAAGAAATTTATTTAAAAATAATAAGAGCCTTTGGTTGCTAAGGTAATAACATTTTTTCTTTATAAACATTTTATTATACATTAGGTCAAGGAGTATTAAAAACAGTTTGAAATGTACTCAAGATGAGCCCATTTTATTAATAGGAGCATAGGCCGGGCTTGGGGAGTAGACGAACTCCCAGAACCCCATCAACCAGGTATCAACCAGGTATGCAGGGCATGTAAAGGGGTTGTCATCCACAAACTAGAAATTAAATTTTTTTTTTCAAACTTATCAAAAATGTTCATATATATTTCCTTACATAATTTTCATTGAATTTTCAGTATACTGCATTTGTGATACTTTCAACAGAATTGTCTAATATAAATGATTGGATTTATATTAGTCTGACTAGCATTTATTTTATTTTAACTAAATTAATGCATGGGGGGGGGGTCACATCTTCACTACACCGGCATTACTTTATCTTCATTACACAGCCTTCACCACTGTAACCATCTTTACTAAGCAGCCATTATTGTATCTTCACTACCAATTACAACCATCTTCATTGCACAGCCTTCACCACTGTAATCATCTTTACTACGTAGCCATCATTGTATCTCCACTACCAATTACCATCAACACTAACCATACTTAACTAACCATATTTACTACACACTATCTTTTTCACCGTAACTGTCTTAACTACTAACAGCCATCAACATTGTAACCATCTATACTGTACTACAAACAACTCTGCACATGACTGAGACCACCAGTGCAGGTGAAAGGAAACCTAAAGGTAAACTAAATAATGATTGAAAATCCACGAGAAATTTATATAATAGCACTAGAGATCTGCTATCAGGATGATAAACTAACGATCATAAATGCATATAGTCCACTGCCAAGCAACACATGGACAAAGGAGGAGCTAGATAATAAACGAGAGGGTCTTATAACAATAGTGAGAGAAATTATAGCGAGAACTGATAAAGATAGATTGCGAATGTTGGTAATCGGCGATTTCAACTTGAAATCCAAAGACTGGGAGGTGTATGAAGCTAGAACAGAGGATTTTTGGACTTGTAGATTCGTAAACCTCATCCTGGAAACATTCATGTTTAAACATGTTAAACAAGCTACAAGGATGAGAGAAGATGTTCCCTCCATGCTGGATTTGATATTTATCAGAAAAGAGGAAGAGATATTTGACATTCGGTACCTTCATTCCCCTTGGGTAAAAGGGACCATGTCTTTTTGGGAATAAAGAATGTAATGAGTTATAATCTGGAAGAAAATGAGGTTGAAGAAGTTGAAAAACCTGATTTTAGGAAAGGTCATTATGGGAAACTCAAACATTTCTTGAAGGAATTTGACTGGAAAGACTTGCTGTTAGGACATGAAGTAAATAAGATGTATGTCAAGTTTTGTGAAATATATGATAAAGGCACAAACATTTTTTATACCAAAGCAGAGATGCAGAACTAGGAAACAGGATTGGTACAACAGAAATTGCGAGAGGGCCAGAGACCAAAACACACAAAAATAGAATCAATATACGAAGAGGCCAAACCCCCCAAACATATCAGCGATGCAAAGATGGGAGAAACAACTACACGACAGTGAGGAAAGAGGCAGCAAGAAATTTTGAAAAAGGTATTGCGGACAAATGTAAAACAGAACCAGGTCTATTCTATAAATTCATAAACAATAAATTGCAGGTAAAGGATAATATTCAGAGGTTGAAAATGAGAAATAGCTTCACAGAAAATGAAAAGGAAATGTGTGAAACATTAAACGAAAAGTTACAAAGTGTGTTTGTACAAAATTAAATCTTCAGGGAACCAGACAATAAGAATTCCAGAGAACAACTTAGAGCACATAGAGGTGTGTAGAGACAAAGTGAAAAAATACTCAAGGAGCTAAGTAAGAACAAAGCAGTTGGTCCAGATGAAGTTTCATCATGGGTTCTGAGAGAATGTGCACCTGAACTCAGCATTCCACTTCAACTGATTTTTCAGGCATCCCTGTGTACAGGAGTTGTAGCTGATGTGTGGAAAAAGGCTAACATAGTTCCAGTCTACAAAAGTGGCAGCAGGGAAGACCCCCTTAATTACAGACCTGTATCATTGACAAGTGTAATAGTCAAAATATTGGAAAAAATAATTAAAACTAAATGGGTAAAACACCTGGAGAAAACTATATAATATCAGACAGACAGTATGCTTTTCGATCTGGAAGATCATGTGTAACGCATTTACTCAGTTTCTATGATCGAGTCACAGAGATTTTACAGGAAAGAGATGGTTGGGTTGACTGCATCTATCTGGACCTAAAATAGGCTTTTGACAGTGTTCCACATAAAAGGTTGTTCTGGAAACTGGAACATATTGGAGGGGTGACAGGTAAGCTTCTAACATGGATGAAAAATTTCCTGATAGTAAAATGAGGGCTGTAATCAGAGACTATGTATCGGATTGGAGGAATGTCACAAGTGGAATACTACAGGGTTCAGTTCTTGCACCAGTAATCTTCATTGTCTACATAAACAATTGACCAGATGGAATACAGAATTATATGAACATGTTTGCTGATAATGCTAAGATAAAAAGGGAAAATAAGAAACCTAGATGATTGTCATGCCCTTAAAGAAGACCTGGACAAAATAAATATATGGAGCACCACTTGACAGTATGGAATTTAATGTGAATAAATGCTATGTTATGAAATGTGGAATTGGAGAACATAGACCTCACACAACCTATGAATTATATGAGAAATCTTTAAAGAATTCTGACACAGAAAGGGATCTAGGGGTGGTTCTAGATAGAAAACTGTCACCTGAGGACCACATTAAGAACATTGTGTGAGGAGCTTATGCTACACTTTCTAACTTCAGAATTGCTTTTAAATACACAGATGGAGAAATACTAAAGAAATTGTTCACGACTTTTGTTAGACCAAAGCTGGAATATGCAGCGGTTGTATGATGCCCATATCTTAAGAAGCACATCAACAAACTGGAAAAGGTGCAAAGACATGCCACTAAGTGGCTCCCAGAACTGAAGGACAAGAGCTACGAGGAGAGGTTAGACATTAAATATGCAAAAACTACAAGATAGAAGAAAAAGAGGTGATATGATCACTACATACAAAATAGTAACAGGAATCGATAAAATTGATGGGAAGAATTCCTGAGACCTGGAACTTCAAGAACAAGAGGTCATAGATTGACTAACGAAACAAAGCTGCCGGAGAAATATAAGAAAATTCACTTTTGTGAATAGTGGTAGATGGTTGGAACAAGTTGGGTGAGAAGGTGGTGGAGGCCAAAACCGTCAGTAATTTCAAAGCGTTATATGACAAAGAGTGCTGGGGAGACGGGACACCACGAGTGTAGCTCTCATCCTGAAACTACACTTAGGTAATTACCACCACTACCAGGGCATTGCTGGGTTCCCATCTACAACTTTTCCACTCCCTCACCACCTTCCCTTTTCTGCACCACATTTCTTACCCTCCATCACCTTTCCTCTTCTTCACCACCTTCCCTCTTCTTCACTACCTTCCCTCTCCTTCACCCACTTTCCCTCTCCCTCATTACCTTCCCTCTCCGTTACCTTCTCTACTCTTCACTTTTCAAACAAATACAAAAAAATACAATATTTATTCAGGTAAAGTACATACATACAAGGTGAAATACAAAAGTTGATGGATTTAGAAAGATTATTATTTTCCTGTCATTTCTCTAACCATTTTATTTTTCAAAATAAGTAATCCCTATTTCAAATAGGGATTATTTATTTTGCTTTCATTTCTCTAACCATTTTCACTAAACACTGTCTTGATAAACTACATGAGAAAAGTTAAAATATAATCATGTAGAAAATAATGTGCTTGGTGAGTCTTAATGAGGATGGAGTCTGGTATTTAGTGAGAATAGAAATTAGAGTATTATAATTTGCTATTTCATGCAAAAAGGGAGGGCATGGGGCTTTACCTTGACCTACCTATAACCACCCCATGACAAAAACCAGCTTACAATGTTTGATGAGGCTTGCCCCAAAATTCAGACAGCCAGACATTTTCTTTTATAGATATAGAGGCCAATTTGCCTGAATCAGATATCTATATTAACCTAATGTTTCTGTTATATTAGCCTGATATTGGCAGTTTTATTAGTTTGAATTTGGGAATAATATTTACCACCTACTGGCATTTCTTTTAGTCAGGTTTTTGCATATACGTTAACCCATACTCCAGAATTTGTTTTATCCTGGAAACATTTAATTTGTGATACCCAAAGCTAGGCCTATTAGCTGATTTTTATTCGTGTAATTACCGTATTCATAATCTTTTACAAGAATATCTACTTTTGAATGAAAGTGGTGATAATTTTAATGTATAGGTCCAAGTTTAAATGTTCTTATTATACTGGCTATAATTATGTGTTATCGTATATAGAAGCACTGTATACAATATTGTTTTGATTTCTTGTTTAAATTCTTGTTCTTTTGATGACTGTAAATAATGTAATTTTGCTTTATGAATATATTTATACACATTTACTTATGGCAGATTAATTAT